TTTTTTGGTTGCAGCCATCATTGTTGTTTGGTGGGCCCGGGCTGGGGATTTGAACCCGCCACCTTAGGTGTATGTGGCTGGCGCCTTAGCTGCTTGAGCCACAGGCACTGAGCCCCTAAGCAAGTTCTTAACAACAAATACAATTTGGAGCCCCAATTTTTTTTTTAATTGTGATTAGGTATAAAGCAGAATATTAACCTATCAGTAGGGAAAGAAAGAAATAAGGAGCATAGAAAATACTAGAGGATTTCAGTTTTCTGCTGGAGGAAAATTCTGGTTTGGAAACATAAAACAGGTGGTGTCTATGGCTCAAAGGAGTAGGGCACCAGCCCCATATGCCGAAGGTAGTGGGTTCAAACCCAGCCCCGGCCAAAAACCACAAGAAAAACCATAGAAACATAAAACATATTTTTGGAAGATAATGAACAATAAATAGTGGGGTTTTTGTTGTTGTTGTTGTTTGTTTCTTTGTTTTTAAAACAGAGTCTCACTATGTTGCGCTCAGTAGAGTACATGGTGTCACAGCTCACAGAAAGCTCAAACTCTTGGGCTTAAGTGATTCTCTTGCCTTAGCCTCCCAAATAGATAGGACCACAGGCACCCACTACAACACCCAGCTATTTTTGTGTGTGTGTTGCAGTTGTCACTATTATTTAGCTGGCCCAGACAGGGTTTGCACCATCAGCCTCAGTGCATGTGGCTGGCACTGTAACCACTGTGCTATAGGTGCCAAGCCATAAGTAGTGTTCTTTAAAAAAAATAAAATAAAACATCCTAGCACCCTGGGAGGCCGAGGCAGGTGAATTGTTTGAGCTCAAGAGTTTGAGACCAGCCTGAGCAAGAACAAAATCCTGTCTCTAATAAAACAGAAAAACTAGCCAGCCTTATGGCAGGTGCCTGTAGTCCCAGCTACTCAGGAGGCTGAGGAAGGCCTTAGGGAAAGGTGGAATTTGATTGGATGTCAAAGACTTGTGAGGATCACTAATGGAGAGTGGATGAGAAGAAGAAATGATGTTCCAGGTAGTGGAAGAAATTTATGAATCCTCAAAAACTGAAGGTCTAAAAGGCTCTAAAAGGCTGGTTGTGATGGCTCACATCTATAATCCTAGCACTCTGGGAGGCCAAGGTGGGTGGATTGCCCTGAGCTCACAGGTTCAAGACCAGCCTGCACCAGAGGGAGTCCATGTCTTTTAAAATTTAGCGGGGCATTGAGCAGTGCCTTTGGCTCAGAGGGTAGGGCACCGGCTACATCTACTAAGGGTAGCATGTTTGAACCCGGCCCTGGCCAAATCACAACAAAAAATAGCCAGGCATTGTGGTGGGCACCTGTAGTCCCAGCTACTTGGGAGGCTGAGGCAAGAGAATCATTTAAGCCCAAGAGCTGGAGGTTGCTGTGTGCTGTGACATCACAGCACTCTACTGAGGGCAATAAAGTGAGACTCTGTCTCAAAAAAAAAAAAAAAAATAGAAAC